TCTGAGTAGTCCTTATTGAGGCAGCACGAGATTGTGCAGGTTTAAGAATAAAATTAGGTTAACAGCTTAGAGATGACGAGGATGCTAGAGAGTTTAAAATAGAATATTCACAAAAGGATACTAGGTATAGCAATTGGTAGATAACCTCTGGGCAAAATCTTTAAATAGACAATGATTAAAATTGTATATGTGACTAATTGTACTCTCACTAACCAATGTAAACCTACAAACAACTTAATAAAAATTAATCAGCATCGAGGCCTTGTTGTAACAATAAAAAAAAAAAAAATTATTGCACTTTGCAAAAAGGTGTGACCTTGCAGATCATGATGTCATGTGAAAATCACAAGAAATTAGATGATTTTTCAAATTTTACAGAATTTTACAATATATACTAAAATATTTGATCAATAAGAAATTTAGAATCACAGAAGTTTTCCTCTATCATCACAAAGAAAATTATAGGGTCACACTTTTTTGCAAAACGCAATAATTAATAGACTAGTCAATGATATTAAATTTTTTAAAATTCATGATAAATCTTTAGTACCATTTCTTGCAACTAGATTAGCATTAATAAGAACAAGTTTGTTTTCTGAAGTTGAAATTCTACTTAAATAAGATTTTAATTTTGATTTTACTATTTATGATTCGAAGTATTTCAACTTGCCTTAGCTAAATTTGACAAGTATATTAATAATAATTCTGCAATTTCAATTTTTAATGCTACTAGATGTTTTGACCCATACTTTATTTAATTACAACTACATCACAATATGTTACTCTATAACGATATAGAAGAATTTAAAAATCTTACAAATGAATTAATTACAGAATGAGAAATTTATTGTGGTTTGAATGAATTGTTTGACGAAAATTTTGATTTGGATAATATTGTCAAGAATTTTACCAAATTTATCTAAATTGGCATTAATTTATATTTGGTTACCTATTTCAGGTGTAGATGTAGAGCGTAGTTTCTCTACATATAATAGAATTTTAGCGGATAACAGACAGAATTTGTCTGAAAATTCGATTAGCATGTTGAATTTTTTAAATTTCAATAAATAAATAAAATTTATTATTTGTCTAAAAAAAATCGCATAATTTTACTATTATTTCGCATATGGTGAGTATCGGGGGCATAATTTGGACCAATCGCATCGCATAATCCGTCCTTTCATTTCGTATCGCACTGAGATCCCTACCGCGTACAACACCGCCTAAAGGTAGCCAAGTGAGTCAAAAGGAGGGCAATTTTGTTATAAATTATATAGTGATTTGCAAAATCGCCAAAAAAAAAAAAAATTTTATCGAATTATTACCTATTATTATAGCTATTTACGGCATAAACAATTTTTAGGTGTAGCATTGTAGATCATTTTAAAACACGAAACGTACACGTATCCTGTAATCAGCATATAAGGTCAATATAATTTTTTTTTTTTTTAAATTGCCGTTAGTTACAAAAGTACGTCAGACGATAATCGAAATAGCGATCATTTTTTGCTTTATATACGACACCGGACTCATAGATAATGGATATTTATGAGCCTTTGGAGATTATTGGTACAGGATCCTTTGGCCTCATTCGCAAAGTAAGACGAAAATCCGATGGTAGGGTATGTCAGATATCATTCTGCGGTTTTTATAACAGCAATTAAATGAATTTATATGATCTTTTGAAGTGTATAACAAGTAATTTAATTTGGGGTTATTCAAATTATTGTCGGGTCAAAATTTTTAAGATCTTAGCACGTAAAGAAATCGACTATCGGCGTATGAATGATAAAGAAAAGCATCAACTCGTATCAGAAGTCAATATTCTCCGTGAACTTAAACATCCTAACATTGTAAGATATTATGATCGATACCTTGATAATACAAATTGTATGATCTACATTATTATGGAATATTGCGAAGGAGGTGACCTTTCCTCGATAATTAAAAAATGTAGAAAAGAGGGGTGAGTAATATTTTTATTTTAAATTAATCTTCTAGTTCATACCTTATATTTAAATAATTTAAATACTTTATTTATTTCAGGAATTATTTGTCTGAAAGCACCATTTGGTTCTTCTTCACTCAGATATTACAGGCGCTTCATGAATGTCATTATGGCTATGGTAATAGTAAGTGTGATTTTGATCATAGCCAACAACACATAACGATATTACATCGTGACATAAAACCGGATAATGGTACGGTTTTTATAAAAATTTTTATATTTTTGACTGCGTCAGATCTCTATATAATTACACTGTCGGGATTATAATGACTTTTTTTTTTTTTTAAAAAAAAAAAAAAGTGCGTACTTATAAATAATTGTGTTTATACAGAGGGTTTTCAGTATGTTCATAGTACTTTTGTTTTAAAAGTTTATTTATAGAGGATTTTATATGTAATTATAAAAGGGTGTGACTATAGAGGTCCGACTGTGTTTATATTCATAATTTATGAATTATTATTGTTATTATTTTTGTTTGTAATTGAACAGTATTATTGGGTAGTGATAATAAGCTTAAATTGGGAGATTTTGGTCTTTCGAGAAAATTGAATTTAGACCGAGAGTTGGCGCAAACGTATGTTGGTGTAAGTATATATTTTAAGTATTTGTCTTAAATTATTTATATAAACTAATCGCTGGTCAGGTATACAATTTTATCTAGACACCATATTATATGTCCCCTGAACTGATAACTGAATCACATTATGATACTAAATCAGATATTTGGGCTCTCGGGTGTTTATTATATGAACTTTGTGCTTTACAACCACCATTTCAAGCAAAATCACAACCAAGTTTGGCAGTAAAAATCAGTGCTGGCATGATTCCTCCTCTACCATCACGATATTCGGAAGAAATTAATAATATAATTAGAGCAATGCTAATGGTTGATCCGGCCAAAAGGCCTACAACTATGGAATTACTAAAGATGTTGCATCCTAGTAAGGATATAACACGTCGAGAAGAGGAGCTTAAACAACGAGAGATAGCTTTAAACGGACGTGAGATGATGGTGGCAAATAAAGAGGAAGAATTAAGGCGAGGGTTTGCGGAACTCCAACAATGCAAACAACAATTAGATTATGAGAGACAGCAATTTACAAACGAGGCCAAAATTCATACAGAGCAATTTAATATGGAAGTTCAACGACAAAAGGAAGAATTTAAAGTTGAGTATGCAAATATCTTGCAACAAAAGGAGGAATTGAATAAGGGCTTTTTAGAGCTTAAACAACAGAAAGATTTACAAACTCAAATCCTTCAGAATCAAGAATCAGAATTAAAACGCCACCATGATGACCTTCAGCATCAAATTGATGAATTTAATAAGACGCGAGATGCAATATTGCTTGAACAGCGAACAATAGTTTCTCTTCAAACGCAAGTATCAGACATTAAAGAGCAGCCCTTGAATGAAAGCCAATGTAATAATGTTAAAGATACGGTTCAGGTTGTTGCACAAGTTGAGGCGTTTACAAGTAACGAGGTCACATCACTTCATAATGCATTAGAAGATCGAGAAAATATAGATATTTCGACCTCTAAGGTAAACCTAAATAAAAAGAGTGATGTGACCGCGCTGAAAAGCCTTCGTACAACACATAAGAAATTTACATCAAGTTCAAATGTTGGAGTGGTTATGAAAGTTCCTGCCATACAGCAAGAATTACCGAAAACGAAGCTGAGAAAATTAATATATCCTCCATTAGAAGCACGACCCAGAAATAATTCATCGATATCAAGCATTATTCCTCAAAAAAGATTAAAACAGGATTCACAAGAATCAAATGTATGGGATATGGACGATGATGATTTACCATCACCTTTTATAAAGCAGAAAAGGTAAAAAAATCGGCTATACCGATTTTTTGACCTGGTCAGCAAAAAAATCGGCTGGTCGATTGTAAAGAATAAACGCATCATACGATATACATACAAGACACTCCCGACATAGGAAGTTGGCTCAAAACCAATCTATATAAATTCTCTTGATATAGTGAATTTAAACATTCTAAATAAAAATATTTAGAATTAATAGAGTATATATAATTATATATTTTTTATATAAATTGTTTAAGATATTACTAATAAACCTTCTGTTATAATGAAATTTTTTTAAAAATTGGTTTAATTTCTCGAATACATTTATTATTTTATTGGATGATTTGGAGATAAATGTATATTATCAAAGTTTATGCTTTAGCTGTTTTTAAATAAGTGCTTATGACTACTAATTAACAACAATTTATTTTTAATTAATAAATATTAATATTATATGACTAAGAAGATTACAAATTATTTGATTAAAAAAGAATAAAAATTCTTTTTTATTATTATTATTATTATTAAGATAGCTTATATTGTCGAAAGAATTTTATTAATTTGATATATATAAGTAATTTTTTATAGTTTGTAATTATGTAAAAAGTGTACAACAAGCTACTTATATAACTTTAGTTATAAGTAATCTATTATATAGATATTAAATCATATGATTATATCTATAATCTATCTGTAAGTTACTTATAATTTATTAAAAAAAAATTGTTATATATTATTCTTACTTTTAATTATTAAACAAATAAACTTTATTAAGGAACTGATATTCTAAAGATTTTATTTTATTATATTAGCTACTTTAAAATTAAACTATTACATAAAAATAATCTTTTTTTTTTTTTATTAAATTCAAAATTAACATTTAGAATATATTTAATTACTAAAATTAGAATAGTATTTAAAAATTTTAGTTTTTTTATTTATATATATACATTTTAAAAAGCAAATTCTGAACTATAAGTTCTTAAATCACAAGTATAATAATACAGTCAGATCCTCTTAAATACTACTTCTTTAAGTGTATATCTATAAAAAACCTTTCTAAATACATGTCTTTATCTTGGGCTCAACTTATATTATACCTATAGATTTTTACTTTTCTAAATGCAATACCTCTTTAAATACATATTTTAACATATAATTCTGTCATATTGTATTTAGAGAGGTTTGACTACGTATAACACGATCAAGAACTATGTGAGTGATCATTTGTTCTAGAAGTATGATAGATGGTTTTTTTGTGTAACTAAGAAAAATTTAAGCTAACTGGAAAAAAATATATATGATTTTGACAATAAATAAAAAGTTTGGTCTACAAACTACTAAAATTTGGTAAAGATTAACAGTGACTTCGAAAACTTTTATTAGTAATATATTTTTACTATCTATACGTACGTATAAAATCTTTTTGTTTACTAAAATCATATGAAAAATAATCTATATACTTCCCTTAAACTTCAAATTTGACTTTAGTACCCAAGTCGTTCTTGTTATAGTAAAGATTCTAAAGATTCACTATATTGAACGTTTTATTAATAAGAACTTCACTACGACTATATTTTCACCATATTAGAGTTCACTATTACAAGTGACATTACCAGCCAATTAGCCAATCAGACACTATTGGTCGGTCACGTGGTGTACTGGCATGCCTTTTGGTCAAAGGAAAAGGGCATGCCCTCCAAACCTAACACTACTTGTTTGCCACGTTTTATCGTTATATATTTAACAATATTTAACGTTAACAAATAAACGTTTGTACGTTACATAGCAAAATGGTAAGTAAATTTAGATATTACGAGTTCGTTCTGGCTTAGATTCTTGTAAATAACATTTTTTTTCTCGTCAGTCAACGGTTTATAGTCAAACTGCTCTCGAAACTTTCCATGAGGACATGGTGGCATGTACTTCTTTTAATCTTGTCAAATCTATTTTATTAGAATATTAAAAGGATCTGGTCCGTTCTTTAGCACGATGCACAACTTGACTATTATGGGAAAAGATTAGCAACTTGTTCTTCAGACCGTACTATTAAAATATTTGAAGTTGACGGTGAAAATCGACAAGAAATTGAGACACTTAAAGGGTAAACAAAAGTGAATAAATGTTTTCGAGTTTAATATTTCTTAAAATATTGAATTTTTATATATATTACCTTTTTAGACACGATGGTCCTGTATGGCAGGTCGCTTGGGCTCATCCGAAATTTGGAAATATATTGGCCTCATGTTCATATGATAGTAAAGTTATTATTTGGAAAGAACAGAAGGGTTGGAAAAAAATAAAGGAATACACAGTACACACGGCTTCTGGTATGATAAGATTAGTATAGATTGAGAAGTGAGATAGATATAATTTTAATACCAAGAAACAGGTAGTCTGTTATTATTTACATCGGTTTTAATATTTAGTAAATTCTGTATCTTGGGCTCCTCACGAACTTGGCCCAATCCTTGCCTGTGCTTCTTCCGATGGGAAAATATCCGTGCTCACCTTCAAAGGTAATTACAATTCTAATTTTTGATTGTCCTTCTTTTTAATATTTAGTTAACTGAATTTATTACTTAAAAGATGATGGCACATGGGACGCACGGACTTTCGAGGCACACAATATTGGCGCTAATTCAGTTAGTTGGGCACCAGCAACAATACCAGGAGCGTTAGTTCAAATCACTGGTGGAGCTCCTAACGTAAACGTTACCAAAAGATTTGCATCAGCAGGCTGTGATAATATTATAAAAATCTGGACTTATAGGTTTCATTGTGTTCAATTATTATTATTAATTTCAATAAGATGATTGTTTTTTTAGTTCGAGTTTTTCTACTCTTCTACTTCTCTATATGTATTTTTGCTTTTTGTATCTCTTTTCTTAATATGCTAAAGGGTGTTAATTAGTGAGTTTGATAGTTTTTCTATGAAGTAACTTTTAGCTCGATTTTGTGATCAGATAATCTACAGAGAGAGTTTTTATCTTGTATATTTTAGTTATAATAAATAACATAATTCTTAATAAACAAAAGTTGAGCTAAGTATTTACTTTAATGTCAAAAAAAAAATTTTTAGCTAATAATATTTGTATAAGTAAAAAAAAAAAAAATTGTTGCTTTAGCAGATTATATTTAAATATCTAAAGACTTTATAACTATCTAATTAAATTCAATAAAAATTTTTTTTATTTTTATTTTACAATATATTGAATTAAAATAAAAAAATTTTTATTAAATTTTATTAAATAGTTGTTAAAATATCTTTGTTTAAAGTTTTTAATTTAATTATTAATTACTAATATATTTTTTTAATTATTGCACTTAGGTCCAGTGATCTTAATATAGTGGTTAGGTTGTCAGACTGCCATGTAAGAGGTCTGGAGTTCAAATCTCACTGTCGATGAGTTTGAATAATTACTCAGACCTTTGTATCTAACTTACAGTAAATCCTATTTGTTTCTGAGGGTTGTAACTCTGTAAATTACATTGTACCAATATCAATTAGATATTGGAAGTGTGACACAATGTTCGAGTTATATTACATAAATAAATCTTGATAGGATCTATGAGCAGGGGACCTGTATGGTAGAAATCCCAAATTAGGTGAAGTAGTATAGATTTTGATAGTTAATCTAGTTTACACTTGATCTAGTGAAAAACCTGAGTATAGAAGATATGAGATTGATAGGTATGAGTAAGTTCACTGTATAACACAGCCTAGTGTTTTGCATTAGTAGCAACACCAACTTGGCTTAGCAGTTAACTAGATTGAGAGAATCTATTTCGTAAAACATCTAAATCTCAGAGGACTATATCTGATGGAAAGTCATGAAAGGAACTGGGTTTGTATAAACATCTATAAGGATATATGCTAGCTTAATTAGGATATAGCACAGCATAGTTGAAGTATACTGTAGGCCCCTTCTGACAAGGATAAAAAGATACCTTGAGATAGGGCCTTCTAATAAGGAAAACTGAGGTGCAAAGTCAGTCTGAGTAGTCCTTATTGAGGCAGCACGAGATTGTGCAGGTTTAAGAATAAAATTAGGTTAACAGCTTAGAGATGAC